TTTTTACCTTTATAATTTCACCCAGCATTATATTTTTAAGATATATCCAGCCGGGCATGGTGACTCAAACCTGTAATCCCAGCACTTTGAGAGGCCAAGTCTAGAGGATTGCCTGAGCCTAAGGGTTTGCAACCAGCCTGGACAACTTGGTGAGACCTCGTCTCTACAGTATATCAAAAAATTAGCTGGGCATGATAGTGTGCACCTATAGTTCTGGCTACTTGGAAGACTGAGGTGCAAGGATTGCCTAAGCCCAGCAGGGTAACGCTGGGGTGGCCATGAGCGAGCCACTTCACTTCAGCCTCGGCGACAGAGTGAGACTCACACACACACACACACACACACACACACACACGTCCATGTTACTGCATGTACATCTAGTCCATTTTTTCTAACTGCTATAGAATTTTTTTTTTTTTGAGTTGGAGTCTCACTCTGTCGCCCAGACTGGAGTGCAGTGGGCCGCTCCCGGCCACCGCAGCCTCAACCTGCTGGGCTCCGGTGATCCTTCCTCCTCAGCCTTCCGAGTAGCCAGAATTACAGAGTGCGCTACCACGCCCGGCCAATTTTTTTTTTTTATTTATTGTAGAGATGAGGTCTCGCCTGCCCAGACGGGTCTCGAACCCACGGGCTCAGGCAATCCACTCATCTCAGCCTCCCAAAGGCGCAGGATTACAGGCTGAGCCACCGAGCCCAGCTATAGAATTTTTTTGAAGTGAGTCCCTCACATTTTACCTATGCACTCACCTGTTGGTGAGCAACTAGGTTGCCTCCAGCTCTCCATCACTGCAAACAAGGACTTAATGAGCATCCTCATACCTACCCTTTTATGGACCCATAAGAGAATCTCCTTGGGATGTACACCCAAGGCAGAACAGCTGGGTCATGGATGTGAATATACTTAACCTGAACAAGTAATGCCAGAATGCCCTCCAAAACAGCTATGTCAGTTTACTTGCATTTTATGATAGATCCCCAACATTTACCAGTACCTAATGTTCTAATTTTGTCAGTCTAAGAGTTGTAAAGTGTTTTCATTTGCATTTTCCAGTATAATACATGTGAGCATCTCCTAATGCTCAATTAGTCTTTGGGTTTTCCTCTCTATACATTTCCTGTTCATGAGCTTTGCGCATTTCTACTAGGTAGATAACTTGCAAGAGTTCCTTGTATATTCTTTTATTGGTTTTAGACATTGAAAAATGTTTTCTCTCAATCTGTCAGCTGTCTGCTAATTTGGTCCATGCATAACAGTAATTTGTACAACAGAATCTTTCATTTTTATGTAATGCAATTATCAGTATCTCTCTGGTCTGGAATTTTAGAAGTTTTTTAAGAAGTTCTTTCCATTTCTGAGTAACAAAGGTAGTCCTCTATATTTTCTCCTACTATTATTACAGTTTTTCTTTTCTCATTTAGTCTTTAATCCACTTCCAAGTGGATTCACCTTTGGATGTTGCTTTAAGTTGGAGTCCAGTTTTATTTTCACCAGACAAGGAGCATTTTATACTCAATATTCCATGCTTTCCTCATTGATCTGAGAGTTGTCTGTATGTTATATAAATTGCCAAATACATGAGTCTCTTTCTCTCTACTTTATTTCAATCATCCATATGCCTGGCCTTTTGCCAATGCCACTATTTTTATTTCTATTGTTTTGAATTATGTTTATATCTGATAGAGTTCATCCCCCCTTCATTATTGCTTTAAAAGATTAGCACAGATATTCATTTACTTTGTTTTAGTTTTGTGTTTTTGAGTTGGCATCTCACTCTGTTGCCCAGGCTGGAGTGCGGTGGCACACTCATAGCCACCCCAGCATCAACCTGCTAGGCGCCAGCAATCCTTTAGCCTCAGCTACCCAAGTAGCTGGAACTACAGGCACGTGCTACCACACCCAGTCAATTTTTGACTTTATTCTTACATATGTATTTTAGAGCAGGTTTATTATTAAGGTTCTGAGAAAATTATTTGTAGTTTGTATTGAAATTACATTGAATATGTAAATTAATTCTAAGAGACCCAAGCTTTTTATTTAAAGAGAAGTTCCATTCGAGGATATACAATTATTTAGTTAAATTACACTGTGCTCTTGATTAGACTTTCACTTTTTTTTCCAGAGATTATTCTGTGATTATTCTAACTCATGTAATAATCACAAGAGCTCTCTATTGTAGGTATTTTTATTACCACAATTTTCCAGATGAGAAAACCAAACCCAGAAAGATAAATAATTTTCCCAAGAACACACAGCAAGTAGCAGAACTTGTATTCAAATAGTTTAGAGTCCAAACTCTTAGCCACTATACTTCCTCTCTATCAACAGACAATTACTTTACAGTTTGGTTGCTTCAATGAATGCTATTTTGTTTTTTATTTGTTTGTTTGTTTACAGACAGGATCTCACACTGTTGCCCAGGTTGGAGTGCAGTGACATGATCTAAATTCACTGCAGCCTCGAACTCCTGGGACCAAATAATCCTCCTACCTTATCCTCCCAAGAAGCCAGGACTACAGGTATGCACCACCACATGTGACTAATTGAAAAAAAAAATTCTTTTTGTAGACATAGGGTCTAGCCATGTTGCCCAGGCTAGTTTCAAACTCCCAGACTCAAGCAATTCTCCTGCCTCAGTCTCCCAAAGGATTGATATTACAGATATAATCCACCATGCCCGGCTACTATCTTGTATTTATCACATCTTCTGATGGGTTGTTGCAGATATAAAGAAAACTGGTTTACTTTTTTAAAAAATGCTCAGTGTGTATCCAGTGACGTTGCTGAATGTTCTTCTTGGTTCTAGTTGTTGTTTTCTTAATTCTGTCTTTTTAAAAATTTTTGAATATGAACTGTAAATAATGACAATTTTACCTTTTTCTTTTTAAGTTTATATTTCTCACTTCCTTTTCTTTCCTTATAGCATTGGTCCAGGCTGCTAGTACAGTGCTATGTAGCAGTGACTGTAAGCAAAGAATATCTCGTATAGAAAAGTAATGTTATCCCAAAGGTTTTCATTCCATCTTGGCTACAGTATATGCAGCACTTCAGGAAATTGTTTCACCAAAGTATAAGTTAGAAACTGCGTCCAGTGGCCAAGAATCTATTCTGAACAGTAGCCCTGTGCTCATCTAAGCAGCAGAAATTACTTTTCCACAGGAGGTGGCCCTTCCAAGGGGAAAACAGCCCACTTGTGATCAACTTGACTTCATTCTGACTTCAAGTACATTAAACTCCACACTAAACCCATGTGGCCACAACACAACTCTGCACCTGTCATTTGCTTCACACAAACTTCTACATGTGCTATTGTTTCTGACAATGCATTGCTCTGTATCCCTATGGGGAAATTCACAGATAGCAGCAAAGGAAGGGTCCTTGGAGCTCAGCCATCTCTCTCATTTTACACATACCTAAAATTCTCTGCGGTGAAGCCTCATCCCCTTCAAGCAGATGATTCACCCAGCCTAAGTCAAAACAGGGGATACCATGGGGCAGTCTCTTCATTGGCCTGGTCCCCTCATTTTCAGCAGAAGTCTGCCCTCCTGAGTGCTCATGGTGGCATGGGACCCCAGGGCTCACAGTGACCTCATTATCCAGATTTCCTTGGGGACCTAGAGGAGAGAAGGAGGAAGCACTGATTCTTCTCTCTTGTGTACCCAAAGACTTCACCCTGTCTGAGATTGGGTCCTAGTAGCCCCCTCTATTAGGTTATGTGGCCCTGGTGCAGTCAGGTCTATTGGAAGTTCCAAGTCAGTAACCAAACATATCCTCCCACCCTACCACACCCAGGGTGACTAATGCCTGTGGGAGAAATAAGTGAACTGAAAAAGTCCCACAGGAACCTCAAACCAGCACATCCAAAATGGAATGTCTTATGCCCTCCTCTAGCTCAGTCCACTCTTATAGGAAGCAGGACCTGGACCAAACTCCATCCTGCCATTCTCAGGCCTTCGTTTCCCTCCTGCTGAGGCTTTACCAGACGTTGGCCCATGGGCCCTCGAGCATCCCTGCTGCTCACCCTGTTCCTTCCACCCTCCCGACTGTGCTTCTGATTCCTCTCTGCCTGTCTAAAACATGCTTGCCCTTCCACTGGAAGTGGTCTACTGCCTATTGCCCTTTAACTCTCAGGCAAGGTTTTGCTGTCTCCCAGCTCCCACTGCTCCCAATGAGCTCTGTCTCCTTCAAGTGTGGATCATCCCCTTCAAGCAGATGATCCACCTGGCCTGAGTCAAAACAGGGGGCTACCAGGCAGTGTTCTCCTCATCGACCTGGTTCCCCCATCTTCAACAGAGGTCATCTCTGCAGGGTGTTCATCGTCACACTCCAAGGCTCACAGTGACCTCTTCTGTCCAAAGTTCCATGGGGACTCAGGGGTTGGGGGAGAGAGAGAGAGAGAAAGAGAGAGAGAGAGAAAGGCAAAGGGAAAGAGAGAAGGAGAGAGGGTTAGAGAGAGGGAAACGGGGGGGGGGGGGGGGGAAGAAGGAGAAGGACAAAGGGGGGTAGAGAAGGGAGAGAGAGAGGGAAACCGAGAGAGGAAGAGAGAGGAGGGGAGGGAAGGGGAGGGGAGGGAAGAGGAGACCTGCACAGCCAGCTTCCACCCCTTTTCATGTTTCAGAGAAGATTTATGAACTCAAAAACACACGGGGTCAGGCCTGGAGTAGGATGGCCCCAAAGGTTCCTGTCCCCCTGAGGGTCCCGCGCCCAGCTCAGTATCGCCCTGGAACATAGTGGGCCATCGGCGGGGGTGAACGACAATGAGTGCTTTGCCCACTCCCATCCAGAGCTAGGCAGGCGGTCAAGTCGAAGGCACTTGGAAGTGGACGGCGCCACGCCAGCGCTCCGTCGGGAGGGGTCGCTGAGCGGCGGCGGAGGCGGGCGGGGCGGGCGGCCGCGACCGGAGCGTCCGGGGACCCCGCGCCGAGGAGAGGGCAAGTAGGCGGGAGGTGGGTGGCCTTGGGCCTGCCCGTGGACCCCTGCACTGGCTCTGCAGGAATTTCGCTTTCGCTTTGGGCCGGTCCGGAGGCGGCGGGGCCGTCCCGGAACCACCGCAGCCGCGCATCCCGGAGTTAACCCGAAAGCGCCGCAGCCCCGCGGGCCAGGCGCACGTGTCACCGAGAGGCTGATGTAGAGAGAGACAGAGAGAGAGAGAGAAAGCAAGAGCCCGGAGTCCCGGGAAAGTCCTGCCGCCCTCGGGGCAATTATAAAATGTGGCCCCGGGGTCAGCGTCCCAGCCTCCGCCCTCACCTGCCGCGGCCGCCAGTCCCATCCAGCTGCGCTCTCGGTGTCCCCTGGTGCCGGTTCAGCATGTGTCCCCCGCGCGGTGAGTGACCAGTCGGGCGCCTTGGGGTGGGGAGGGGCTGCCTGGGGCGAGGAGGCAGGGACTCAGGACGCCCAAAGGAGACTGGGGACTTCAGCGATCTCCTGCGAAGAGGGGGAGAGGCGGATTGGGGGCTCCCCATGCCCTCAGTAGGATGTTGGCTCTTTCCATCTTGAAACAGCTGGGTGAGCTGTCATCATGCCCACTTCACAGATGGGAAACTGAGGCCTAGCAGAAGGTAGTTCCTGCCTTCCTGACTTCTTGCCTAGAATCCCTCAGCTACAACTCTAAGAAAGCAGATCCCAGCCAGCTCTAAAGTAGGACACTGGGGCCTGAGTCTGAGCCAGTCCCTTTCCCGCATGGCCTCGGTTTCCCTGTTGAAAACACGGAGGGTTTGTCTGAGTGAGCTCTGGGTCCAGCACCCTTGACCGAGCTCATCAAGGGCCCTTCCAGGGAACTGGCTTCTAGTACTAGAGTGTTGCTTCTAATAACTTGATCCAACTCTGGTTGTTGGAGGGAGGTGTGGTTGGACATGGATGGGGTGGTGGCAACCAGCAAAGATGGATGGGTGAAGACCGCCAGAGCACATGGAAGGGCCAGGCAGCCCACCCAGGCCGACAGCTCAGCCTGACTCACTTTCCTTCCAGGCCTCCTCCTTGTGGCCACCCTGGTCCTCCTGGGCCACCTCAGCGTAGCCAGGAATCTTCCCGGGGCCACACCAGGCCCAGGAATGTTTCAGTGTCTTCACCACTCCCAAAACCTGCTGAGGGCTGTCGGCAGCATGCTTCAGAAGGTGAGCTTTGTGTTCCCCTGTGTCTCCTTGTCCGTGCAACCTCCCCAAGGGAGGAGCTTCTCACCCACACTCTCCACCTGAGGAGACCACAGGGAAGAGGTGCAGGGTCATCAGTAGCTGCCAAGGGCACAGCAGGGGAGCTCACAAGTGGCTCAACTATAGCTAAAGAGTCGTGGAACTGTGTCTCTGACAAGGCAGGAGTAGTTCATTACACTGGCATTGGTCTTGGCTGTGTCGACACGGAGTAAAGTGGGTATCGACAGCATCCCCGCGGCCTTCCAATAGAGATGGAATTGTGTCACGTCCACACTGCTGCCCTGATTCTGCTGATCGATCCCAGAAGCAGTTGTTAGGTGCACACTCTGTGCTGGGGGGAGGGAGCCTGCAAAGGTGAATTGCCTTGTCCCTTCTGCTGCTTACCCGGCTCCCACCCGGTTAATCTCAGCGAGGATGTGACAGTACTTGTGCAGCCTTCATTTTTGAGGGGGAAAGTTAGCTAATTTTATTTACAGTCCTGTTCATGCTTTTAGGTTTCATATTTTAGTTCCAAAATTTTTTTGCCCTTTAAAAACTATTCCGGGTCAGGCACAGTGGCTCCTGCTTGTAATTCCAATGCTTTGGGAGGTTGAGGTGGGATGATCCCTTGAGACCAGGAGTTTGGAGGCCAGCCTGGGCAACACAGTGAGACCTCGTCTCCAAAAACAAAAGATTAGCCAGGCATGGTGGTGCACTCCTGCACTCAGGAAGGTTCACTTGAGCCCAGGAGTTCAGTGAGCTATGATCATATCATCATATCACTGCATTCCAACCTGGGCAACAGAGCCAGGCCTTACCCTAAAAATAAATAAAATGCATGCATACATACTACTTCAATCGCTATTGCTACAAAGTCTAAGAACCAGTGTTTTATAAGATGTCCTTTAGGCTTTCTGATATCTACGAAATCATTCTTGAGTGTTGTCTGGAGGTAGCCTTAAGGATAGCTTATCATAAGCACGATGCCACAAGATCTTGTTGAGGAACTCTTTCCTTGCCTTCTAACCTTTCATGATGTGCTTGCAATTGCCCCTCACAGTTCAGTAGGTCTTGATTAGTCCAGCAAGTGAAAACGGCTTTGTTTTTGTTTTAGAATCTGTTTTTGGAGAGGCAGGGTCTCACTCTGTCGCCCAGGCTGGAGTGCAATGGTGTGATCGTAGCTCATTACAGCCTCGACCTCCTGGGCCCAAACGTTCCTTCCACTTCAGCCTCCTGAATAGTGGGGACTACAGGTGTACCACTGCTATGGCTGGCTAATTTTTTTATTCTGTTTTTTTGTACAAATGAGGTCTCGCTATATTGCCCAGGCTGGTCTCAAACTCCTGGCCTCAGGTGATCCACTCACCTCAGCCTTCCAAAATGCTGCTTTGTTTTCTGCAGAAAGATTCACTATGGATAAGATGTAGGTGTTCCCATTTACATAGGTGCTTTATGTGTGGAGGAAGCTGACTCTTCTACCCCCAGATGCAGCCTAAGGGACACAGGATTACAGAATTCAGGTTGATGCTTTGATGTCATTTGTTTGTCAGATTTGCCAGAAAAACCAACGTACTGCTGAAAAAAACACATGGCAGATGCATGTGATTTGCAGGTCATGTCCAACCCACAGATTTGTAGAGTTTGACCCATGTATTTATTCGTATTTTTGAATGTGATGTTATTGAAAATTGTCTTTCTGGAAGGCTGAGGCGGAAGGATCATCGGAGCCCAGCAGGTCGAGGCTGCGGTGGCCGGGAGCGGCCACTGCACTCCAGTCTGGGCGACAGAGTGAGACTCCAACTCAAAAAAAAAAAAAGAAAGAAAATTGTCTTTCATATAAAATTCCAAATTTCTAGCTTCTCTTGAGAAGACCTAAAGCATCTCAACCCTGGGCCCACACCTCCAAATCTAATCCCTCATAACCTGCTCAGGGTAGTGGCTGTCCAGTTCTGTTTAAACACCCCCAGGAATGCTGTGTTAGTTTCCTATTGCTGATGTCACAAATTAACAAAAACTTGGTTGGTTTAAACAACACATATCTATTCTCTTGCGACTCTGGCTATCAGAAGCCCAAAATAAACTGGGCATAGTGGCTTACACCTATGATCCTAGCACTTTGGGAGGCTGAGGTTTGAGCGCAGGAGTTCAAGACCAGCCTAGGCAACATAGTGAGCCCTCATCTCTAGAAAAAAAAATGTCCAAAATTGGGCCTACTGGGCTAAAATCAAAGTGTCAGCAGAACTGTAGCCTCTTCTGGAAGCTCTTGGGGTGACTCTGTTGCTTTGCCGTTTGAAGGTTCTGGAGGCCCACATTCCTTGGTTTGTGGCCCTTCTATCATCAAACCCAGCACTGGCTGGTTTAGTCTTTCTCAAGTTGCATCGCCATAAACTGACCTTCTGTCCCCTCTTCCACTAATGATGACATTGGGCTCACCCAGGTGATCCAGGGTCACCTCTGTCTTGTAAGATCAGCTGGTTGGCATCCTGAATGTCACCTGAACCTTAATTCCTCTTTGCCAAGACTCATAGCATATTCCCAAGTTCAGGCCTGAGAGGTGGGTCTCTTTGGAGGCAGGACATTAATCCTGCCACAAAGAGGGATTTCTCTACCAGGGCCCAGACGTGTTCTGTATTTTTAGGGCCTGGTTCTCAGCCCCGGCAGTTGCCCCTACCTGACATTCTCTGCTTCTACCAGTCAACATCCTCATCCCTTTAGTGCAGGTGCTCTCCATCTCCAGTGAGGCGTTGCTTCCCTTTCTGCCCTTCTCCAAGCCTTTAGCCCCTTCCAGCTCTTCTCACCCCCCGGTGTACCTCCCAGTCATTTGGACACTTGCCCATCTCCCGGCTAAACTTGGAATTCAGAAGGGCTTGACATGGGCCTTTTCATCATGTTCTCTTTTTTTTTTCTTTTTCTTTTTTCCTTGAGTCAGGGTCTCACTGTGTTGCCCAGACTGGAGTGCAGTGGTGCCATCATAGCTCACCACAGCCTCGATTTCCTGGGCTCGGGTGATCCTTCTGCCTCAGCCTCCTGAGTAGCAAGGACTACAGGTGCGCCACTGGCTAATTTTTTTTTAAACCAGGATTTATTGAGAGGACAGAAAAAGCTCCCACAGTGGGAGGGGACCCAAACGGAGTTGCCCTATTTTATTTTTTGTAGAGATGAGGACTCACTGTGTTGATCAGGCTGGTCTAGAACTCCTTGGGCTCAAGCAATGCTCCCTCCTCCACCTCCCAAAGTGCTGGGATTATAGACGTGAGCTACCACACCTAGCCTTCTTGTCATGTTCTTAGTACTTGAGGGAGACCTTGGCACACACCAGGTGGTTGAATAACACACATCAGGTGATTGAAAGTTTCCAACCATAAAGTCTTTTACTTCTTAAGATGCATTTCACAATTTTACCCAACAGTACTTTTCAGCACTTTTGTAAGATGACATATGTACGTGTCTGTGTGCGTGTGTATGTGTATACATATGTGCATGTGTGTTTGTGTGTGCATATTTATGTGTGTGTACTGCAAACTAAATTATCTTCAGGGCTTTCATGTTTGTTATATCCATCAAGCTGTGGCCTTACCATCTTTCCCTTTAGAAGGTGTACTTGAAAAATACATTCACAAAACCCGGGCATTTTTGGCAAAAAGAAGCCATTTTCACCAGAAGCAAGTGTCACAGTGTAGTGTAGAGGCTGATTAGCACAGCCTGTTGAAATGATTTATGGTGTTTATGTAAAAAGATGTCATCTAGAAAAAACACATTCTAAGCAAAAAGAGAGAAGAACAAGAGAGGGAATGCAGATAACAGATTTCCTTTTATCTTATGAAGAGCCAGAATTTCCTCCAGGTCCAGGGCAGCCAGCTGGAGCCTTGCTGGCACCCTGGGCTACCAGCCTCATAGGGAGCCAGGTACCCTTTTAATGTTACAAATGGAGGTTTTCTGTCTTCCTTTTTTTTTTTTTTTTTTGCACAGACCAGACAAATCCTAGAATTTTACTCCTGTACTTCTGAAGAGATTGATCATGAAGATATCACAAAAGATAAAACCAGCACAGTGAAGGCCTGTTTACCCCTGGAATTAACCAAGGTATAGAAGCTTTTCCTCTCAAAGCATGGGGCACAGTTAAGAGTTGGGCATCCAAACTTATCTGCTTCCAAAAATGAACCTGTGACTGGTGTCCATCATTAGGGAATCTTAATAGGTCCTACCTCCAAATTTACATGTGGGGAAAAAAATTATAAAAACAGATTTTTTTGGCAACAATGTGAGTATAACTTAACACTCCTGAACTGTACACTTAAGAAATTATTAAGATGGCAAATTTCATGTGATGTGTTTTTACCATAATAAAACAACATATGTTTGTGATGAAAAGCCAAAAAGATTTATATTAAGAATTTATATCTTTGATACATGATTTTTTTCTCCTCTAGAATGAGAGTTGCCTGGCTTCCCAAGAGACTTCTTTTATCACTGTAAGTCAGAACATGAAAGGTTTTAGCCCCTATGATGAATCCATGTTACTGACGTCTGATTATTTCTTCTTGTAGAATGGGAGTTGCCTGGCCTCCAGGAAGACCTCTTTTATGATGGTAAGACACACAATTCTTTCCTCAAATGCAAGGGGGGAGATGAGATGTTTCAGCCCCTCTGAAAGCTTCCTTCCCCATTTTTGTCATATCACACAGACCCTGTGCCTTAATAGTATCTATGAAGACTTGAAGATGTACCAGGTAGAGTTCAAGGCTATCAATACAAACCTTCTGAAGGATCCCAAGAGGCAGATCTCGCTAGATGAAAACATGCTATCAGTTATTGATGAGCTGATGCAGGTAAGGCCTCATTCTGTCTGTGAGAGAGCACCTTCTTCATGTTGGAGATAGCCAGAAAGTTCCTTGATGCAGAGGTATAAAATCAGCCCTTCCTGGATTGGTAGCAGCCCAGAATTCCTGCCCTGGTAAAAGCCCTTCAGAGCTACATTTTCTGAAAGGCAGTCTCGAGGGTGCCCCCTACAGTGAGGGCAAATGTGAACAGTCACATTAAGAAAACCAGCCTCCCATGTGTTGGCCACGTAGTGTGCACCAGGTTCTCTGCAAATGTTTTCATGCATTTTCTTTTGTCATCTCCCCACCAACCATATGGGCTCTATACAGAGGAGGAAACTGAACCTTAGAAGACTTAAACCACTTGTCTGGGGTCATGTAGCCTGTAAGAGGTAGAGTCAGGACACTTCCCATCTCATTCAGTCCTACAGCCTCCAGGAGGTGCACATGCAGGTGCTGGCATGCAAATCTGCAGATATTACTGGGCAGAACAAGCAAGAAGGGTGCCTGGTTATGACTCAGTATAAACGTGAACAACACAAAAGAATGACCTATCATCTGAGGGACTTCTACGATGTTGCTCATAGGCAAGAGCTTGCTTGGTCATTTTCTGAATCACCATAGCACATGATGCTAATACAAAACATAGAAATATTTACATAAGAGAGGATGGGCCAGATGCAGTGGCTCATAGCTGCAATCACAGCACCTTGGGAGGTTGAGGTGGGAGGACTGCTTGAGCCCAGGAGTTCAAGACCAGCCTGGACAATATAGTGAGTCCTCGTCTCTAAGAAAAAAAAAATTAGCCAGGTGTGGTGGCACCTGCCTATAATCCTCACTACTCAGAAGTCTGAGGTGGGAGGATCACCTGATAAATAATAAATAAATAAATAAGAGGTTGAGTGCTTTGGTGACTGGGCATGGGATAAAATATGGTGGTAAAAATCATTGTCTGAAAAGTAATTGATTTATTTTATTATTTGTATGTATGTGTGTGCACATGCTAAGTTACTTGTTTGAAAGGCAGTGAACTTCATGCAAGTATCAAAGAATACTACCATCTTTATTTTCGAGATCAAGAGTTGTGTGATTGGGTACTGGAATCAGTTCTACCAGTAACCAGACAACTATATCCAAATCACTTAACCCTTCTGTGCCTCAGTTTCCCCCTCTGTAAAGTGGAATGTCTTGGTTTTAACTACCTTTCTTTTAGGCGTTTTGTAAGGAACATGTGAAACTTTGACTCATGTGCAAATATAAGGTCTTGTGTTATCAAATCAAAAGGCTAAACTTGGGAAATCTGTTGCCAGGTGTCCTTATCTGATACAAATGGCATATCTTCCGTTAACAAGGCCATGAATGATTGGGAGTTCTGATCAATAGCAATCCATCACCTCCCTGTTCTAGACAGAACTGGGCCTCTTAACACAACATATATAAAAATTAATAAGACACTGCAGCAGATGTCATCTTAAAGGAACTGTTCCTTTCTAAAATGCAACTCCCGCTGATGATTTTCTGAACAGCTTTAGGGATCTTTTCAGAGCTCAATGAAGGTGCATGATGGCCAGGTATGGTGTCTAATGCCTATAATCCCAGGACTTTGGGAGGCCAAGACAGGAGGATTGTTAAGACCAGGAGTCTAATACTAGCCTGGGAAACATAGCAAGACCCCCATTTCTACAAAAAATAATCATAAAAAATTAGCCAGGTGTAGTGGTATGTGCCTGTAGGCCAAGCTACTTGGAGAGATAGAAGTGGGAGGATCACTTGAGGCCAGGAATTCGAGGCCAGCCTGGGCAACGTAGAAAGATCCCCCATTGCTATAAAAATAAAAAAATAAATAAGCAAGCATGATGATGTGCACCTGTAGACCCAGCTACTAGGATGGCTGAGGCAGGAGGATCACTTGAGACCCCGAGTTTGAGGTTACAGTGAACCATGATTGTGCCACTGCACTCAAGCCTGGATGATAGAGCAAGACTCCGTCTATAAAACAAACAAACAAAAATGCATGCTGAGGTGCTTGGATAGTGAGTATTTATTCTCTCATTTTCTGCCTGGCCATCTGGCTGGGAGTAGATTTGGGCTGGATTTAGAATCGTGAGGAGGGAATGGGTAGCAGTCTCTGAAACATGTATTGGTTTCACCCATTTATATAAATGAACGTCTTAATTTTGGAATACCATCTACGTCATGCTTAATATTTATTTTCCTAGGCCCTGAGTTTCAACAGTGAGACTGCACCACAAAACCTCTCCCATGAAGAACCGGATTTTTATAAAACTAAAATCAAGCTCTGCATACTTCTTCATGCTTTCAGAATTCGGGCGGTGACTATTGACAGAGTGATGAACTACCTGAATGCTTCCTAAGAGGCTGAGGTCCCTCCCCATCCTCAAGGCATCTTCATAAACAATTCGAAATGGAGAAAATGTATTGGGATGTGGATGGGCTACTAGGGGAGGCTCAATCTGGCCCTACTTAAGGAATTCCCATGCTTATGTTTGCACCACCCAAAATTTGAAGGATGGGCCTGTTGCATCTACATGACACGATGCCTTTGATCAGGGATCTCTAACATTTACCATGGATAAATTGTTTTTAAGTTTTCATGAGCAAATTGCTAAGGAGGGAAAGTATACTTCCTGAATGTGTTTTTCTATCCCTTTAATAGAAGAACAAGGATGTATAAGCTATTTCTGTAGCAAAGTGTTTGTAGAAGCAAACATGCTAGCATAATTTATTTTAAAATATTTATTTATATAATTTTGTGTTCATGAAAGCAGGTGAACTTATATTTATTTATGTTATATTTATTGAATTATTTATCAAAAGGATTTGAAAAATACTTTGTAAACATTCTAAAAATTAAATTATTGAATTATAGTGGTTCTCCTATTTTTGTAATGTAATTGGAATACTTTTAAATGTTAAAATACACATTATGGGAAGACTGAAAACACTAGTGAAACTTCAACAAACTTACCTTGGAAAGAATGCCACAATATTCTTATCCATTTTCTAGTTCTCTTAATCTTATTTTTAGAGGAAGCTCAGTAAGACAAGATATGCTTTACCAGCAAAGCAACCAAGTGAGTTATGGTTCTTGAGAGTTTATTATTTTTGTTTAATATCTGAGTCTCAAAGTACTCTGTGCATTAGACAAATACATCATAATATTCTTCAACAGGGAAAAAAGTCACCAGAGGCTTTCTAGTTAAGTTATTCTAATTTTGTGACCCTTTGGGCTCTGTGGGGGAAGTGGTTTCTAAATTAAGCCAGAAAAACTCTCCATTTGCCTCAGATTGCATAGGAGTTTTTCTTGAACCACAGGGTTAATTGCCTTACTCTGGTATAAGAGAGGTATTCTTAATGAGGTAAATCTTAAATTCCATCTTTTTTAATTCTCTAAACATTATGAATTTTAACAGATTTATAACATAGCTCATGTTACACTGTTGTAATGGAATACCTGAGGCTGGGAAATTTATAAACAGGGATTTATTTCTTACAGCTCTGGGGGCTGGAAAGTCCAGGATTGAGGAGCTGACATCTGGCGAGGGCCTTTGTGCTACAATATCCCATGACAGAGGAGCAGGAAAGAGAGCAAGAGGGGACTGAACTCTTTTTATAAGGAACCGACTCCCACCTTGATGGTATTAATCTATTCATAAGGGCAGAGGCGTCATGGCTTAATCTTAAAGGTCCCACATCTTTATACTGTTACATGACAATTAAATTTCATCATGAATTTGGGAGGGTACAAACCACAGCAATTCACTTGACAGAACATAGTGTAATTTTAGTGCTGTGATAATCTTATTCCTCCTAATACAAAAAAGAATGTAAAAAAAGCCAAAATATTTAGAGTGACCCTGTTCTTCAGTGACTCCTCCCCACCAGCTCTCAATCCATATCCCTGTAAACTGGGAGGGGAACGTGTGTTAAAACTCTTCCTTTTCAGATTCCCACAACACTAGGCATTCCATAAAATAGAAATCATCAGAGGCCAGATCCCATCACCCATCTCATTTCCTTGGGGGATTCCTCTACAATCTTGACTGATCTGCAAGTGCTTAACAGACAAGTGTTTCCTTCCATGTTTTCTTCCTTCCTTCCTTCCTTCCTTCCTTTCGAGTTGGAGTCTCACTCTGTCGCCCAGACTGGAGTGCAGTGGCCGCTCCCAGCCACCGCAGCCTCAACCTGCTGGGCTCCAGCAATTCTTCCACCTCAGTCTTCCAAGTAAGCGGAACTACAGGCAAGTGCTACCATGCCCGGCTAATTTTTGATGTATTGTAGAGACAAGGTCTCGCCAAGTTGCCTGGGTGGGTCTCGAACCCACTGACTCAGGCAATCCACTTGCCTCGGCCTTCCCAAGTGCTGGGATTACAGGCTGAGCCACGGAGCACACCCAAGTGTTTCTTTCAAGTGTCAAGTTTGAGGTTTCAGCATCACTGAGTTAAGAGAGGCTAACCGGGCTATAGAGTCACTGTCGCTCCTTCCTGGAAGGGTGATAGCTGGTTGTCTGGGCCCAGAAACAAGGAAGGGCAAGCAGACCATCTCTTCCACGGACTGGGTTTATATACACAGGAGCCCATGTGTTACTTTGATTCCAGAAATTACCACGGGATATATTTCAAAAACATGACTGACCTGAGAACGTCTCCACAACTAATTCCGTATCTTATTACATGGTCAGTCTTTCACTTCTTTTTCTCCTTTTTTTAAAAAATTTTTTAGTTTTAAAGATGTGGAGAACAATTCAGGATTAAGTATACAAGTGGTCATTGTACAAGTAAATTTGGCATCCCTTTGGTTCTCCTTCACCTGGTTTGAGATCAGGTACCCTTACTGATGTTATGTGGCACTCCCCCATTCCTCTCCTCCCCAGCAGCTTCCTGGCAATCCTTTTCTTACAGTATAATGATAACTGCTATAACTCAATAAGTGTCCACTTATGAGTGAGAACATGTGGTACTCAGTTTTTTGTTTCTGTGATAGATCACTGAGTATTATAGACTCTAAATCCATCCAAGTTGCTGCAAAGTCCATAATTTTGTCCTTTATGGCTGCATAATATTCCATATTCCAATGTGTATATGTACCATATTTTTTTATCCAGTCCAGTTTCGATTGGCAGCACAGTTGGTTCCATGTCTTTTGTAAATCATGCTGCAATAAGCATGCCTGTGCAGGAATCTTTTTTGTAGAGTGATTTAAGGTCCTCCAAGTATATTCCCAGAAAGGGGATTGCTAGGTTGTATGGAAGGTCAATTTCTAGTTCTTTTACACATCACCACACTGTTTTCCATAGAGGTTGAACTAGTTTGCATTCCCACCCAGCAGTTTAGAAGTGTTCCCTCTTCTCCACATTCTTGCCAACATCTGTTGTTGCTAGTTTTATTAATGATGGCCATTCTTACTGGAGTTAGGTGGTATCTCAATGTGGTTTTGATTGGCATTTCTCTGATGGTTAGTGAGCCTGAGCATTTTTTCATGTGTCTGTTGGCTGCTTGTATGTCTTCTTTTGAGAAGTGTATATTCATGTCTTTTGCTCACTTTATAATGGGGTTGTTTATTTTTTTCCTTTTGACGTGTTTGAGTTCCTTGTAGATCCTGGATGTTAGGCCTTTGTCAGGTATGCAGTTGACAAATATATTTTTTCCCATCCTGTCACCCCACTGTCTTGATTATTTCTTTTGGTCTGTCACCCCACTCTCTTGATTATTTCTTTTGCTTTGCAGAAGCTTTTCAGTTTGATGAGGTCCCACTTGTCAATCTTATCTCTTGTGGCAAGGGCTTTTGGGGTTTTGATCAGGAATTGATCATAATGATGTCTCCTGTGTTTTCTAAGATTTTTAACATTTGAGGTTTTACATTTAGGTCTTTGATCCATTTGGAGTTGATTTTTTGTGTATGGAGATAGGTAGGGGTCCTGTTTTATTCTTCTGCACATGTTCAATTTTTCCAGCACCATTTATTGAATAGGTTCTCCTCTCTCCAGTGGTTGTTGGTGGAGCCTTTGTCAAAGCTGAGTTGGTGGAGAAATTGAAGTTTTGCTTCCAGACTCACTATCCCGTTCCACTGGTCCTTTGTTTTTCTTTTAAGTCTAGGTCTACAACTTACAAGTTGTATAGCACTGAGGCAGGTGATGTTTTAAGAAAAACCCAAATCCAGTTAGGCAATAATTTTATTTAGAAGGTCCTTGTGACCTTAGAAAGTTGAGAGGTAGTCATCAAAACTTGTGACCAGATACCTGCAGTTCATTGTCTTGGCTTATCAGAGTTGGAGAGATGGTCATCAAAACCCATGTCCAAATACATACAGCTTTGTTGTGCAGGTAGTTCACAGTTAGCTTAATAATTGTAAAAGTATTTAAAGTTTCTTGTCAAAGGCAAGCACATGTTCTTTCTCTCAAGATGCTCATACCTATCAGGCATCAGGCATTCTCTCTCTCTCTCTCTCTCTCTCTCTCTCTCTCTCTCTCTCTCTCTCTCTCTCTCTTTCTTATAAAATCTTTTAAAACAGTGGCCCCTCTGAAATGCTTTTCTGTGTTGGGCCCAAAGAACCCACAGAGCATCACACTGCACCCACCCAGCAACAGCATGAACAAATTATTTCACCATGCCCTGTCTGTGTCCTCTTCTAAAAAAAGGAAGATAAGACAAGAACCTACCTCAAAGGATCAGAGAGAAGGTTATATGGAGCAACTTAGGCAAAACATTAGTATTATACCTGACATGTGGTAAGTGCACAGTAAACATTAGCAACATTTGAAAATAATCTTCAGCCCAATTTTCTCAAAATTGAATTCTATGTACCTGAAATATTTTATAATAAAAGAATATGAGATTGGATGTATATCAACTTTTGGATTGAAGCGAATTTGGTAATAACAAGCACAACACTTTAATTCTACTTATATATTTTTGAATTTGATATTAGGTGGCTCAGCCTGTAATCCCGCGCCTTTGGGAGGCTGAGGTGAGTGGATTGCCTGAGCCTGCGGGTTCAAGACTCGCCTGGGCAACTTGGCGAAACCTCATCTCTACAATTAAAAAAAAAAATGATTATGAACCCACCTCAAAGGATCAGAGAGAGGGTTACATGGAGCAATTTGTGCAAAACACTAGCATTGTGGCTGGCACATAGTAAGTGCACAATAAATCTTAGCAAAGTTTGAAAATAATTGTTAGTCTTTGTGCCATATTAGTTAAACCTTCTGCTACTATTTCTTTATCATGAAATTTAGAAACTTGTAGAGCTTAACTCATGGAACTATTGTGAGGATTAAATAAGTGACACAATATACTGCCAGCATGTAGGTGGTACACAAAATACATTTGTTAAATCTCCACATCTTGTTCCCTGGGACACCTCCTCAGTCCTCAGCACACCTTGCATGTTCAGCACTGGTGGCTTCCCGGTACCAGATCACAGGATAGCAAATGGGTCCCTGCC